CTCTCTCTCTCTCTCTCACACACACACACACACACACACACACACACACACACACACACACACACACACACATGCACCGAGTTTCACATCATCGTGTCCGCAAGGATGAGGAGAGCGCCGCCACACGTCTAGCTCATAAGCACTCCTGCTGGAGGTGATCGTGATTCGTGATCACTCGCTCGTACAGCCTTCTCCTGCTCATCCGACACATAGTCGGAGATGGCCATCAGACGATTCCGGAACTGGTCCAACCTTTTTGCAGATTGTGTTCGCGCTATAGGACGATCCTCCATAGCTTGCTGACTCGTCGGCGGCGGGCTGGAAATGGCAACGAGCCTGTTCCGAACCTCCTCAGCATCGATCGCTACAGTCATAGCCATAGTCACGCACGACCGGAGACACAACGCCTTACACCCGCTGCAGAAGGAAACCGGTTGATGGATGGTTGATCCTGTGCCACCGCTGAAGTAGGAAACTGGATACCTCACAACCTCTGAAGAAGGGAAAATAGCTCCACCAACAACCTCACTCCAAAGACTCAGTCAAATGCAAATGGTGGGTTGCGATGCAATGGAATGCAAACGGCGGTTTGCGATGCAGTAGAATCCAAATGGCGGTTTGTGAAGAACGATAACTGCGTAAATGGCGCGAAGACGAGATGGAAGTCGAAAGAAAAAGGCGGGGTATGTTTACAAAGCGATGCCTACTTTTTGATGAATTGGCGCGGTCAAGAATGAAAAGTTATAGCATGAGCGTCATTTTATTATTCCCATCACCCGCCGCGCATATTTGCCAACGTGACGCAACACTCGCGCCTCACTCACTGCCACTTCGCTCGCCGCATCCAGATTTGATTGAAGAATGTTCCAGACACGTTTTGTCTGGTGCCTCAGTAATCCCAAATGTTCGACCGAACCGCCGCATGGGCTAGTGCCGGCTGTGGGCTTCGCTTCACGCCCGCCAAATGTTTTTTTTCTTTTTCTGAAATTTTTTTATTTGCGCAAGAACTATGCTTTTTTTTTTTTTAATGCTAATATTCTCTGTATCGTTCCAATTTTAACGGATGTCCGTAAGGACCGCCCCCAAATGTGAAACGATCCGAGAGTGAAGTTTCCTCCGAATAAGGACCTCGTTGCACTACTCGCCATCCGCCAACATCTTCATTGCATGTGGACATAAAATTTGTCCAGATGCATTCGAATTCTTGGCGGATGGCCAGTAGTACAACTAGGGCCTAGGACAGAACGCGCATTCATTCATTGCTGTGCCTGGATGGAAAGTGGGAGAAAGGCAGCAAGACTGACGGACGTTCTATTCGGGTGAGACGCAGGTCCTGTAGCTTCTGTTCGGACGTGGGCGTCGCGGGGAAAGGTTCCACTACCGGCTTCTCCCAGTCGGTTAGTTGATTGGAATGTCGAAAAAGGGCCTCGCTCCAGAACTCAGGACATGCACCAAAGGGCCTCGCTCCAGAACTCAGGACATGCACCTGTGGGACGAGGTAACGGAACACTGCCCCAGTTAGAGGCTTGGGGAGACTTTTTTTTTTTTCTTTTTTTTAATAAAAAAAAAAGGGCGACGACCTTGAGATATTATTATTGAGCTGACCAGCCCCAAGCAATTCATTAGTAGTTCGTTTTACTTGTCAAGTTCCATCATCTGGATTCGAACACAGGTCTGTATTTCAACAGTTCATGGGTGTACCCACTGCTGGGGAGACTTCTAGGTAGTCTACTGATTGAAGTTTCCTCTTCGGACAGCCTAGTGAGTTGGCCTATAAGATTTGGTTTATATTCCTTTTCGGACAGCCCATTGGGCTGAGAGACTCTATAGGCAGCATGCAGTAGAGATAGACAAGACACTGTTCCAAGAAAAAAACAAAAAATAAAAAGGTAAGAAGACTGTAAGCGAAGCTGGGTAGCTGGGGAATGTTTGTTTCTATATATATATTCTTTTTTTTTATATATATATATTCAGGGGACGCTGGACCCGTTTTCCAGCACGTGCAGCTCCCCACCAATGGACTGGAGTCGGCCACAGAGTTCCTCGATCTCGTTGGTTCTCTTACCACCACGAGACCGCAGGGCAACACACGAAACTCAAAAATAAAAATGAAAAAAGGTGGTGCATCTTCCCATGTATCAGGGGAAGATTCATGCTCATTTTGCACATCTTTTAGTAGTGGAGCGAGGCCCAAAGAGTTTTTTCCTTCTTGGGAAACGTTGAGCATTACCGCTGTCCCCCGAATAAAACTCAGTGTCATTCTTTTCTTTTGTCGTCTTTTGTTTTTCGGGGGGTCTTACCAGTTATGAGACCCCACACCCACCCTCTTCTCTTCATGTTTTTATTGTTTTTTTTTTGTTTTTTTTTTTTGTAGAGGTGGGGTAGAAGGGGGATGGCAGTCACCCACAGTACTTGGCCACTCGGTTGTCCAGATGAACCCCTCTGAAGACCCCACCCACCCTTCTCCCTGGCGCCCCCCTGCCCCAGTGTCTACCACTCTGCAAACTCAGGACCATCCCCCTTCTACCATCTTGGTGGGGTGACCTGACCGGACAGTGCTTGTCGGCACTAGGGCTGAGCACGAACCCCACTCAGCCCTGGTTAAAGCATAGTGGAACAAATGTTGTCCGGTGCTTTGGGCGCTACGTGTAAGCATTTTCTCTACCAGCCTATGCATTGACCCTTGATTCCCCCCATATCCTCTTTCTTGTCTCAACAGAACTACCCCCAGGCCTACCCAAGTTCGAATAGAGACGCAATCAGATGATCAGAATACAATAATTCTGAATTATTTAGGGCCGGTTGATACCATGACGAACTGTCAAGGCTGTTGCCATTTTCGAAAAAGACGAAAGTTGCCCCAAATACAGCAATAATCAGGGTACGTTTTATTTAGGGCAGGACGATAGCCACGGGATAAGATAGAACATAGACACCTGCCTCACTGTGCAACAGCCTCGGCCTGTTGATGGCCAGAGATAAGATAGCCAGAGCAGAAGGTGTCTTTTTTCTTGCCTTTCTTGAGCCTACCTGGATATTCCCTGCACTTTCCAGAAACACAAACTTGCCCTCCTATTGGTCCAGCCACCATGTGTTTTCTATTGCCTTTTCAGTGCTTACCTGTGACGCGGAACCTCACGCCCTGCGCTGTCTTTCGTTCGGAGTGCTTAGGGTGCAGAAAGGAGGCCCAGAAAAACAGCAAGATGGGGTGTGCCAAGGATTTTTGGAAAATTGAGTGTGGGGACACAGACGAAACTTAAATCCCCCGTGTTGGTCTGATGAAGTGAGAGATCTGGTTGGCGGCGACGTGGGTTTTGAGGCGACGCGCGCGCGGGATATGTGACGCGAGGAAGTTTAAATTCAATCCAGAAAATATTGTCGGACCTCCCGACGAGCCACGACTCGGCGTTTGGAGTGGAAGGGAGCGGGCACGTGTTTAGTATCCCGTTTTCGCACTAGCTCCCGACGTCGCACATTACACAATTCTGAATCCGACGTGGACGGTCTTAATCGCGTGGCCCTTTCCTTGTGCTCATCCTCATTCCGTGCTCGGTAGTGGAACCCCTTCGATTGGTAGTGGTCGAGTCGTTGGCAATCACTACACAAGGGGTTAGGCCAATGGGGCGCTACTGCCGACCACGGGATGACGATCAACTCGTTAAATGGTAATAGCAGCGAGTACGGCGGAAAATGTGTATCGACGATGACAAACCCAGTGCCTACAAACCCAGAACACCGATTTTCGGGAGGGAAGTAGTATTGCCCACCGATCTTGGCGATGGCTTCTCGTATGTCCCACTCACAGATTCGCGTCCTGTACTCGTTATACGGGAAGGGGCGGAGAGGGGCTACGGGAGGCTGGCGCCTAGTCGGGTTGAGCCCGTTAGTCTACATGGCAAACAATCAGGAATATTTTAACCATTCATCGCGTGCATGCAATCCTAGCAATCCAATCGAAAAGGTCACACAGGAGAAACAAAAGGTTCGGAAAGAGAGAAAGAAAAACTCATGTGTGGCAAGACGAGACCGCCATTTCGTGCTCAGATCGTGAGTGGCGAAATCGCATATGTACTCGCGACACTTCTTCGATAATCACAAATCAAAGCATTCTTGCACTTCCAAATCCCAACAACATTGCCCCTGCCATCGACTCGTCCTACCCGTTCATTCCCATCTTCCGTGCATGCATTCACTGAGGAAGGTGCGAAAATGACAGTGATGCAATTTCCCAACAAGGTGGCGTTAAGGGAAGAATCCTTAACTTGAATGGTTGATACACGCGCATCCACCGTTCACAAGACAAAACCCACTAGTTCGGGGGACTACCCAGGAAACTAATGGAAGAGTTCCGGAAGAAATCATTCCAACACAGCCATCATACTCATTCCATCACATGCCAATTTTTGACTTATTACGTCGAACCATCCACATCAAGAAAGAAGGAGAAGGAGAAATGCGACAGAGACAGACGGGGATATCAAGATCAGAGGGAAGAGTTACACTGAGATTGGGAGAGGAAAAGAAGGTTCGGCTTTACCGCCGCAAAGTCACACCAAAGAATAGATTCGTAACCAAGAGGGCGCACTTGCCATCAAATTCCAACACGGCCCTGGGCCAGTCATCCACTCAACTCAGATCACCTGTCCGCATTCTGACACCGACGATCCCGGCCGTCACGCGTCATCCTCCACCACTGCGATCGTCACTTCGCCAACTTAGTCTCGACGTGGCTTGCCTGGATCCCACAGTCCGTCGTGGCTATCTAGCGCACCACTAGCCAGTCTACAGTTGGCTCGTCAGGACTTTTCGACTCGCACCGTACACATCACCTAGCCACTACTTCCTATAAGCTGGCCGATGAGTTGAGAGAGAGTTTTGCGGGAGCGCCGACGGAATTTATAGTTCCGAGACGAGAGAGAGACGCGGGGAAAAATGAAGGGTGAGGCAGAGGAGGGTATAGGAGAGTTTGGGAGTGACCGCCCATCGAAAGCCATGTTGATCCCTCCTCACTCGACCTCAGCCAATCAGAATCGTCGCACAGTAAGAACTTACACGACGCTTCTCCTTGGCTAGATGGGGAGAGAGGATCGACTGGGTTTTCGAGCGCAGATCTTAGAGCGGGAAAAAGAGGAGCGCGAAGGATAGCACGAAGCGGGTCCAAGATTCAGATGATCAAGAAGGAGAAAAAAGGCGCGCGCTGAGAAGGGGAGGGAAAAACAGTTACACGGGGCGGGGGCGAGAAAGCATGTGCGCGCGAAGAAGGACAGTGAGAGGAGCGCAAGGAAGGAAGGATGAGGGAGCTTGCTTGCATGGCTCCGATCAGCAAAAGGGGAATGGGCACCAAGACAATTGCAGTCTTTTCCAATCCTATGCTAATTCAAAAATTGAAAGTACCATATCCGCGCGCAAAACAAGCGCGGGAAAGAAAGTATTCCGTCCATCCATATTCCTACAAGAATTCCCAGAGTTTTCAAGGTCGAGGCCGTGAATATTTGCGCGCGGAAGGTCGCGCGGCATTCCGATAATTCCTAGGATTTCTAACTGTCGAGCCAAATTCCAAACGCACTCGCTAAGGCGCGTGAAATTCCCATGCATTTTCAATCAAAATGACACAAAAAAAAGGAATTGACAGATTCTCGCAAGGTACCTTTAATCGGGCACAGACAGAGAGAGGAGGGGGGGGGGGGGAATCTCGAGATCGAACTGTACATATCTGGATGCAGAGAAAACACGGGAAAAAGGAAGGGGTCCGAAAGATGGCGCAGGTCCGGAAGCTAGTATGTCACATATGTGACGCGCAG